CTCCTGAATCCCTGAAGGATTAATTTACTCAAAAGAAATAACAGAAAAATACTCAGGGCGCCTGGGTGGCTCAGTTGGTTAAGCATCTGACTTCAGCTCAGGTCACGATCTCGCGGTCCGTGGGTTCGAGCCCCGCGTCGGGCTCTGGGCTGATGGCTCAGAGCCTGGAGCCTGTTTCCGATTCTGTGTCTCCCTCTCTCTCTGCCCCTCCCCCGCTCATACTCTGTCTCTCTCAAAAATAAATAAACATTAAAAAAAAAAATACTCTATGCAAACGTCTTGTGAAGGAAATGAGGAACCACAGAACACCCCAAAGATGGAGGCCTTCAGAAGATGCACGGGAGGCAGAAGGCCATCATCAGCCTTCCGAAGGGGTAGCCAGGAAGCAGAAGGAAACCCAGGAGGAGGGCTGACCCAACTGGCCAGGGGTTTAGATAGGACACTCCCCCGGGGCGCTTGATAAGAAGAACAGGTGAGCCACAGAGGCTTAGGGGAGAGGTTCGAGAAGAGTAAGAAACAAGTCTGTGATGATGCATCGGAAGCAAAGACATTCACCCAGCCGTCCTCATCCTGTGCGCTCGGGGCCCTGAATTCTTTTTCTGTCTGATGTTAAATCTGGCCCCTGCTTTCTCTCTTTTAACATTTCCTGATGTCTCGTTGAACTTCATTTTACTTTTTAAAAAATGTTTTATTTATTTTTGAGAGAGGGACAGAGAGCAAGTGGGGGAGGGGCAGAGAGAGAGGAAGACACAGAATCCGAAGCAAGTTCCAGGCTCTGAGCTGTCAGCACAGAGCCCGCCAGACAGGGGCTCGAACCCACGGACCATGAGATCATGACCGGAGCCGAGGTCAGACGCCCAACCGACTCGGCCACCCAGGCGCCCCAGTCTTCATTTTACTTTTAATCATCTGGTGAAGTTTTGTTTTAGGTAGTTTTCTTGTTACCAGCATCTCGCTGGAGTTTGTATTTTGACTCAGTCTCCGGGTCTGTTTCCCAATTGGATGGCTTCCCACGTATGAATGAAAATAGATTCATTCTATGTTGTAAAGTAAGACCTAACAGGTTACAAAGCAGTATATTCAGTACGAGCTCACATACGTAGGATTAAACCCCAGCCTGTGTGCGTGTGTGCGCATGTGTGCAGACATATATACGTACACCAAAAACTTTACTGCTCATCTCTGTGCGTGTGCGTTTCTTTCTTTTTGCTTATATCGTAGTTTTCCGTGAACATGTCACACACACCCAAAAGTTTTATAAGTAAGAGTCAAATAATTTGCAACAAGCTTATAAGGGCAGTGAGGGCACCTAAACTCTTGACGGAAGAATCGTAAAAACAAATGTAGAGGTGCCTGGGAGGCTCAGTCAGTGAAGCATCTGACTCTTGATTTCGGTTCAGGTTGTGATCTTGTGGTTCATGAGTTCGAGCCCCAGGTCGGGATCTGAGCTGACGGTGAGAAGCCTACTTGGGATTCTCTCCCTCTCTCTCTCTCTCTGCCCCTTCCTTGCTCATGCTTTCTCTCTCTCGAAATAAATAAATATTTAAAAAAATGTAAACCTCAAATTACCTCTGGATCTCTTAGAGGAACAAAACCAGCAATTATTATGGAAAAAAAAAAAAACACAACCCAACACCAAGCAGTTGGAACATGGTAAAGTGCATTCAAATATGGCTGAGCCCATCCCACAGTAGGACTGCAAGTCTACTGCACCTTCGTGGTCACGCTGTGTACTCCAGGGTTACGCGTGTCAAAATGACCTGGTCTCTACTTACCATTACGTCGGAGGACAGGCCCCATAGACAACTCCTATAAGCCACAAGAGCGAAGGTAACGCTGATTGCGCCTGTCCATCCACCATGGCCTATGTGATGCTGGACCCTCAGAACAACCCTGTGAAGTAGGTACTATTGTTTCATCTTCCTGATGAGAAACCGAGGCCCAGAGAGATGAACTAACTTGCCCAACGTCAAATATTTAGCAAATATTAGAATCGGGGTCTGCAGCAGGCAATTGAGAATGGAGAGGCTGTAACCCAGGGTCGAGAGCTGTAGTGTTCAGAGGGAGATACCCCTTCCCACTGGGGGAGGAGGTGGGAGAACACAGGGGTAGCCAGAGCAGGGGAAGTGTGTCGTGGGCAGCCTGCAGGGAGGCAGGAAAACACATGCATTTGGGGGGGGACCCTGAGCAAGTCTGGGTGGTGCAGGAGAGGCACAGAGAGGGGTGGGACTGGAGCCACTGGGGCCAGACTTCGAAGGGCCCCTATGCCCCAGAGGTCTGACTTGTAGAGACTGGATTGTCCCTGCTCTCTCGACGGCCACTGGTGCATTCGCTTTTCTCAACAGCCTGTGAGGTGGGCACCATCCCCAATTTACAGGTAAGGAAACAGGCAAATATTTCTCCCACTCTGTGGGTTGCCTTTTCACACTCTTCATCGGGGCCTTTGATGCACAAAAAGGTTTTAATTTTGATGAAGTCCGTTTATCTATTTTTCTCTTCCATTGCCTGTGTTTTTTGTGTCCTATGCAAGGAATCGTGGGCAAGTCCAATGTCATGGGGCCCTCCTCCTCATTCCCTATATTTAAAAGAGTTTCAACACCTAAACCACTGCTGAGACTCACAGGGAGTAGCACTGTACCGCGGATGGAGACTGTAGTCCTCCTAAACCCCATCAAAAAATAACGTATTGAGGTGAAATCTCACAGCATGAAATTAACCTTTTCGAGGCCAACAAGCTAGCACTAGCACATTCACAGTGCTGTGCTCCCCCCTATTTTTGCCTCAGTCCCTTATGGCTCAGAAGTGACTTTCACATCTATTTCCTCCCTTGCTCTGCACAGTAATCCTGAGAGTGAGACAGAGCAGCAAGGCTGTTGTTCATCAGGAAGGGGGGGCGCCCACAGCGAGGCCCCGAGCTGCCCCTTCCCTGACTCCAGTGTGCGCAGTGCTGCGTCCCGTGCTGGTGGTCTCGTTAGGCTGGCTCCACGTGCTCCCCCTTCTCGGCTGTGTCCCCTTACGTGCACCGTCTGCCTCTAGGTGACCCTGACGTACGTGGCTTTCCCACCTATGACTCTGATTGCTGGTTGTCTGCACTTCTGTCTCCAGTCCCGTCAGTGCTTTCTCGGGGATGGGGCCAGGGTTTCCGTCGGCACTGTGCAAGCCTCCGCAGCAGGAGCCGGGGACTCCCAGAAAGGCATAGAGTGAGGAAGGAGCTAGGAGCCCCTCGGAGGACGATCTGGCCCTTCTGGGGTGGTAAGGTTGAGAGCGGCAGAACCGCAGCCGGGCCTGGACCCATTTCCTATCTGCCTGGAGTTCTCTTCCTCAAACTCATCCTTCACCTTCGGCAGGAAAAGGGTCACTGCTCCTGCCAGAGCCGAAGGGGTCTTTGCAACAGCTGCCAAGTGTTTACCTCCCTGAATCCTGACCACGCCCAGCCGTGTTTGAACAAACAGGAAGTCAGGAAGTCGAGGCTGTCCCACAGCTCTCGCAGGAGCCAGACTCCAGCCCGGGCCACCGAAAGCCCTGGGCTTTGCCACCTTCCTGGAGTGGCTCACTCATGCTTCCAACCGGCATCAGTGAGCCTCTCTCCCGGGTGCTGGGGATTCACAGATAACGCCACTCTGCCCCGTGCTGAGGCCACAAAAATGAAATGAAAACACCACGAAGGCCAGACAAGTATGAGCAAAATCTGTCCTTTTTTTGAAGGTAGTGATGGTAAGTACTTGTCACGGCTCACCAGTGAGATCCAGGGATGCTGGGCAGCCTCCAGACCTAAGTGAGAACCAGCTATGACTCATGATCAATAATAGATAACTTAGCAAGTGAAACCCAGATCCTGTGAAGCAGGTTGTGGGAAGTGGGAGCCTCAGCAGGCTGCAAAGGAGGGAGGAGTACCTTTGGTCTCCAGATCCAGGCCCACCCCCCTTTTGATTTTGACATTGCTTTGTTCCTTTTCTTCTCAGGCTGATGACTGATGTTTGACATTATCATTAAGAATTTGAGGTCTCAAAAAAAAGAATCATAGCTTATTAGAGCTAGAGAAGTTCCTTCAGAATCATTTTCCTATTGGTTTTATAGATGCATATGATGGGGTCCAGGGAGGGGAAGGGATGTGCCCAAGGTCAGCCGGCAGGCAGAGCTGGGACTGGGACCCAGGTCCCCTCCAGCTTCTGCGTCCGACCACCCGGAACCAAAGCCAGCCTCCTGGGCCCAGCTCGTGGCTGGGGGAGGTCCCTGGTCCAGGATCAGGCCAGGTCTGGAGCCGGCAGGTAAGGGCCCTGTCAGGTGTCAGACCCTCTTCAGCTCTGCGCCCCCGGGCTCCATCCATTCCAGGATCACCTAGCCGGGTTTCCTGCTGAATACTGCTCAACCTCTTCCTGGACAGGGCCAGTAAGGTTAACCGGGCAGAGTTATTAACTGGGAACGGTTCTTTCCACCCCTTCCACGCCCAGCCAACTCCACAGCCCTGGCCCGCAGGAGGGCTTCCAGGAGACGGTGGGGCTGGGGTCGCGCCCGGCCTCGCCTCTCCAAGCCTTCTAGGGCGGGCACGGGACTCGACGCAGCAGGTGACTTTCACCCCATCGACCCCGGGTGCTGGGCGCCATCGCCTGCACCTGAGGACCCCGCCTACCGCGGCCTGGGTTCCCGGGGGACTAGGCTGCCGGCCGGGATGGGCGGGGCGGCGCCGGCCGAGGGGGGCTGCGCGCGCAGACACTGCGCACGCGCGGGGACCTGCACCAGGTTCGGAAATGACGACCCAGCGCTGGCCCCCGCCGTTGCCCCCGCCCCACCCGGGAGGCCCCGCCTCCACGAAGGCCCCGCCCCGCCGGGCCCAGCTCAGGCGCCGCGGGTCCCGTTCCCAGTCCGTGAGGTCCCGCCCCGTCGGGCCTCCCTCCGGCGCAGTCGGCCCCGTCCCCCATGGAGGCCCCGCCCCCGGAGGCCCAATTCAAGTTTGGCCAGCCACGCCCCCGCGAGGCCCCTCCCCGCGGACGGCTCTCTGCGCGGACCCGGCGGCAGGAGCCGGACGCGCGGTTGCGGTTCCCGGTGTCGCGGACGGGGTCGAGGCCGGCGGCCCGAGGCGCCCGAGCGGGGTGCGCCCAAGAGAGCCGCGGCAGCCGAGCAGCCATGGCGGAGGCCACGCCGCATCCCCTGGCGCTCCCCTCGGGGCTACTGGAGCTGTGCGCGCTGCTGGGGCCCTCCCGGGACAGCCTCCGCGGCCCCGAGCTGGTAAGGGCGGGCGGGGAAACTGAGACGGGGCGCTGCCGGGCGGCGGCGACGGGCGGGGGTCTGCGGCGTGGGGTCGGGGCGCTGGGCTGCTGTCCTCCCGGCCGCGGAGGAGTCGCCCGGGCCGCCTTCGGGACGCACGCCGGGGCCGGGGGAAGGCGGGCTGGGGGGCGGGGCGGCCGCGAGCCCGGGTTTCACGGCCCCGCGGAGGCACTTCATTCATTATCGCGGGACTTAGGTACTCCCCGGCGGTGGGTGTCGTTCCTCGCACAGCGTCGTGAGGCTTTAGGTCGTCGACGGAAGAGCCGCTTTGAAGCGTTCTGTTTAGTCGTTTTGCGAGGACGCCGAGCTGTTCTCACCTGCAGAAAAGGCTGACCCCCGCCCCCCTTTACTCCTTCTCTGTGTCCTCGCAGCCCGAGTGACAAACCCTTTTCTCGGAAGGCCGCAGTTTCGGACATTCTCGTTCTCCGAGCTTCTTTTCCTGTGTCTTCACTTTTTCTTATTCTGCAACCCTGGCTTTCTTTTGCATCGGCCGGTGGCCCTTTTTCTCGTGGCCGCCGGATGTCCGTGTGACTCTGTTTTCGGCGGGTTTCTCTGGCTGGCGGTGATGCGCAGAGCGCTCTACCGGCCAGATACCTGGACAGGCCCTCCCCTCCTCCTGGACGACATCAGTGGGAGGCACCGGAAGACACCTGAGGATTTAGGGCTGCAGAGTTGAAGGGCTGCATGGCGAGGCTAGATGTCGCTATAATTAACCGGACAAACGTCTGTCAAGGTCTTGGTGGTTTGCGTGACTTTAATACTGAGCCAGCTTCAGTGGTTTCTGCATTGCCCTCCTCCTTTCTTACTCCGCAAGCCCCTATGATGTGTGCACCCCCTTTTGATCTCTGTCTCCTCTGACCTTCATGGATGGAGTTGTGTCCCCGCCTCTAATTTGCCAAATGGCATTTCCTCCTTTTTCTTCTGGTAGGAAATGACCAGGTTTCAGTTGCTTCTTGGGTGATTACAACACATCTGTTAGTTGCCCCGATGTGGGACGTGTCTTGAGAGCAGGATGAATCAGCGGGAATACGCACCATGGTGCTTTCCTGACCCAAACAGGCTGCGGCGCTTTCCCAGACAAGCGGGCAGTTTGCTACTCTGCATATTTTAAAAAAAAAATTTTTTTTTTAACGTATATTTATTTTTGAGACAGAGAGAGACAGAGCATGAACGGGGGACGGTCAGAGAGAGAGGGAGACACAGAATCTGAAACAGGCTCCAGGCTCTGAGCTGTCAGCACAGAGCCCGACGCGGGGCTCGAACTCACAGACCACGAGATCGTGACCTGAGCCGAAGTCAGACGCTTAACCGACTGAGCCACCCAGGCGCCCCTACTCTGCATATTTTTAAAAAATATTTATTTTTAAGTAACGTCTCTACCCAGCATGGGGCTCGAACTCACAACCCCGAGATCAAGAGTCGCCTGCTCTACTGACTGAGGCTGCCAGGTGCTGCTTGGTGACAGGTGCACCCAGGAACCGAGATACGAGAAATATCTCATAGGGTAGCAAGGTGTCCTGACTTTTAATTTCCTTTCTTGGTTGGGGTGGTGTTTGTTTTGTGAGGATGTGACGAGGACTCCCAAGAATCCAACTCAGTCCCCTGTGAGTTTCTGTGCCTACATTTCCCTTGGCTCCCTGGTTGCTGGGGAGAGTAGGCGTTGGGCATGAACGGGACCAGGAGCAAGTTGGTCAGGTCAGCCCAGCGCTTTCCATCGTGTAGGTCACTTACATAATTCTTGGGTGTGAAGGCAACATTGTAACAGTTTTCAGTGGCCAGCATCCTGGCTTTCAATTTACAGAGCCTGGCTGTCTCCCAGAACTTGCTGAACGGTGACACCAGTGTTCTTTATCTGTGCCATCCAGTCCGGCAGCTACTAGCCACACATGGCTTCCAGGTGCTTGAAGAGTGACTGGTGCCACTGAGGCACTGGATTTTAAATTTCATTTCATTTTAATTAATTTCAATTTAAATAGCCACGCAGCTCTTGGCAACGGTTGCACAGCACAGTTCTAGAGCATTAAAAAAAAAAATCGATTGTCTTCTGTTTTATTTCCCAAATGATGGCCAATCCTGTATGAAGATCAGTGCTGCTGTATAACCTCACAGAAGTAAATCTGTGACGGTATGAATTAGGGTGTCGTGTGTTTTACTTTTGAATCAGCTCTGCTCGTTTGGACTTAAATGGTTGTTACTGGGTAGGGGTGAGGAAATCAGTGTCTGCGAGAGGAGTGCAGGAACTGGCTGTCACAAGTCTGGGGAGTGGGACCTTGTCTTCCCTGTAGGCGAGGGGCAGTCACGACGCTCTGGGTCCAGGGTGGTGCCTTCAGGAATTTATTCTGATTACACAGTCGGACGTGTGTAAGTACGCATGGGAGAGATTATTCGCCGCTGCCTTTGCTCAGGTGGTGCAGCGTGACGAACTGAGAGCATGCCAACTGTCCCTCAGCGGGGGATTGGGCAAATATGTTACAGGGTCGTCCCGTGTGGCACTCTACGGTGGCAACAGGGCAGTCAGCCACACTGTATGCTGAAGGGGGGAAGAAAGCTAACGGAACCGTTTAAAGAGGATGATTGTACCTAGGGGGACAAAATCACAATGTACCCGTAAAAAGTGGGAAGAATGTATTCCATGCTGTGCAAAGGATATTAGTCACCCTTTCACAGAATTAGGGGGAAAGCCTTTCCTTTCTATTCTCATTTCTTTTATTTTTCCTATATTGCTGTCAGTGTTTACAAATGAGACCGTAGGGGCATCTGGGTGGCTTAATTGGCTAAGCGTTCGACTCTGGCTCAGGTCATGATCTCGCGGTTCGTGGGTTTGAGCCCCGTGTTGGGCTCTGTGCCAACAACTCAGAGCCTGGAGCCTGTTTCAGATTCTGTGTCTCCCTCTCTCTCTGCCCCTCCTCTGCTTGCGCTCTGTATCTCTCTCAAAAATAAATATTAAAAAAATTAAAAAAAAACAAAAATGAGACTGTTGCCTATCCAGTCGGAAAAGACAGCAAGGAAATATGGCTAGAGGAAAAACAGATGTTTGATGAACTACTGAGTGCCCCGTTGGCTGGGTTTTGGCCATTTCACTCTAAGCGACTACAGATAACTGCAGGGAGCACAGCCTTGGGACACGGGCGCCGTGTCTGCGGATTGAGCGGTTGTGTCGTGCACGGGTTTGGGGCACCCTGGCTTTGGAAGCAGGCTGGCCGGCCCCTCAGGTGTACAAGCAGCCCAGTTGTCATCCCGCCCGTGACACCTGCACACGGGTGATACATCCACGGATTACGTGCGTGGTGATGACAGTGATGTATGGATACAGAGGGTGGAGATGGTCTGTGGGGCTGGTTTGGGCCCTTTGAAGAGTGTGCAGGGGTGAAACGTGGGCATCAGGTGCAGGAGCCACCGCCCCTTGGGGCAGGTGTCACGTGTGCCCTTTCGAAAGGGGATGATGCCCCCGTTCGTGAGCATGGACAGAGGTGCCGGGGGGGGGGGGGGGGGGCCGCCCGCCCCGGGCCGGCTGGGAGGAGGCGGCCTCATTCTCCCGGGAGAAACCTCGCAGGATTCGTTTGTTGCAGAATCTGTACCTGCTCTGAGCCACAGGCGGGGTGGGTGCTTGTTTTGGAACTGTGCCAAAACTGCTTTTGTAGTGGTAGTGGGACTGCTTTTAGAGACCTTTCTGAGGCCAGAGGCCCCATAACGTGGGTTTGCAGAGGGGAGCGAGGGGCAGGGGCCGCAGCGCCAGCTCTGGAGACCCGAGGGGCACCGTCTTTATCACAGGGGAGCATATGGAGGGGAAGCTCGGGTTTTAGGGAAATCAGCATGAGCTTAATTTTTGAAACTATAAGTTTGAAGGACCCACCCAGGTATGTCGGGCACAGTTGGGTGTGGTCTGAGCCTGGAAAGAGGTCTGAGCTGGCAGCAGGACCCTGCACGCTGGCCCCAAGTGAGGACACTACATAAGTGTTGAGATTGCCGGCCAGGCACTGGAGGAGGGACTGGGGCCACGGACTCACCGTGGGGCGGGGGGGGGGGGGGTGTGGGGGGGGGGGTGGGGAGCACCCAGGAGTGTCGGGGCGGAGAAGAGCAGAGTGCAGGCGGCCAGAGAGGTGGCAGGAAAGGGGGGGCCCTCGCTGGTGTGTGCCCAGTCTTCATGGATGTAACTGTTCATGGAGGAAGAAGTGACCACACGTACTTTCATAGTTAAGTGGGTCTGATGTGCCGGAGTTTGATAGGAAAGTTTTGGAAAGGTTTTTTATGACTCAAGACACGGATTCCTTTCACGCATGATACACAAAGCTTTTGAAATTCCGCAGTCATACGGATTTCCCATGTGTGGTCTTTGTTGCTACTGGTGTTAAACTTTTTTTCCAAGTATAAAGCAGCTGTTGTCTGAATTTAAATTATACACAGCATAAAAATAAGCGTTTCGAGTTTAGAGTGTATTTCCTGGGGGCAAATGCTGTCCTCGTAGGATTCCTCTCAAGGGTGAGAGTTCCCCTTTGGTCCCACGATTCTTACCAACAGCGTGACACTGCCTGCCCGCGACAGGCCCATGTGTCCTGCTGACAGTGACGTCCTTCCTGATGCCCTGAGTCCCTCAAAGACCTTTGATTACACACTGCCCACCTCCACCCCAGCCGCCCCCACCTTTCCACATCCTTGCTACCCAGGGAGTCCTGCCTTTGACTTCTCTGTGTGCCAGCTGGGGGCTGAGCCCCTGCGGCCCTGTCACAGCCTGCCAGCCTTCTCTGGGAGCTCTGCCAGGCGTCCTGGCCAGACAGAATGGGGATCGAAGGCAGTGCCTGTGGCCTTTATGTCATTTTAGGGATGAAAGAGAAGACAGAAGGTTTTTTAAAAATCTGGTACCAAGTTAAAGTTCGAAAGTTTTCGGGCTGGGTGATGACCCCCCCCCCAGTATAGACCCCGGGGGGCCACTTGGTCGCTGGAGGAAGGTGTTGTCTCTGAAGCCAGTGGTCCGTTTTCTCACCCCTCAGTCTCTGTCCCCAGGTCAATGGTGACGGGACTGCTGGGGGAATGGCCCGGCTGGCGGGGGACACGGTGTTGGCACCCCATTTGTGCTGGTCAGATAGTGTGCAGGGCCCTCCTCACCGGCCTGTGAGGGCGCGGGGCGCTGGTGTGGGGGCGTGGGGGTTGAGCACTTGACTTGCAACCCCCCCCCCCCCCTTGAAAGGGAAGCTTGGCTGTGGCCTTAGCAGGGCCGGATCTGAACTCGGGTCTGCCTGTCGGCACCGGGCTCTGAAGTGGACACCTTGTGTCACCACCCCTCGTAGCCGCTGAAGAGCCAGGCCCTGCTGGGTGCTGTGACTCGCCTGAACGCGTGGCCCAAGAGGCCCTTCGGCGGCTTCCGTGCGGCCCTCGCTGTGCACATGCTCTGCGGGACAGAGCCAGTGCCCGGTGGAGGGTGGAGGGTGGAGGGCACAGAACCAACGGCGGGCACTCAGAAGGTGCACGACAGGGCGCACACGTGTTCGTATTTCTGCCCGCTTCAGGTGGCCCAGAAGAAGGGGGCCAGCAGCCTCTCTGCTCTCGACCCAGAGGTCCTGTCCATCTTTGTTCCTCCTTTCGTCAGTAAGGAGGACACTCAGCTGGCTGGCACCAACTGTGCTCTGAGCAAGACCAGAAGGCGCTCCTTCAGAAAGAAGAGGGAGAAGCCCAAAACAGAGCCCTGGAAGGGACCCCCTCCGGAAGACGTCAGCGTCCCCAATGGCGTGGACCTGCTCGCCCTGCCTCAGCTCTGCTTCCCAGGTATCTGCTGCCGTGCTTTCCAGCCGCACCGATGGTGCTTTCTAGAAGCCACCTCTAGAGAGTGACAGGGGGGCTGGTGACCGCTTGAGACTTGATGTCGAGCCACAGGACTGGGTTCTCTTAATCTCAGGGGTTTCGGAGCTAAAGGATACACGGACCACTCAGTGCAGGGGTCTCGGGGATAGAGGGTGCCCAGGCCACCCAGTGCCGCCCCCAGGTCTTAGAAAACTGAATCCCAGAAGAGGGGCTGTTGGGGTTGCCAGGTGTCGCGGTTTGTAGATGTGCTTTCCGAGGATTTTCACCTTGGACTTACAGTCCTGTCTTCCAGACGTCCGGCAGGCTGGTCAAAATGCCCTCCAGCTGGCCTGTGGCATGTCCCCGGGCTCCCCAGCTGTGCCTGTTTTCTGTGCCCCTGGGGCTGGCGGCCCGGGCTTGCACAGCTTCCCCAAACTGGCGGTCCCGGTCGTGGGTGGCCTTTGTTCTTTCCGGTGGTGGGTGAGAAACGCCCAAGGGGCTTTAGAAAAGGCAGACGAGGAACGCGCCGCCGTGTCCCGTCTGGGAGTGTCCACCGAGAAACGGGTGCTGTCTCCTGGTCTCCGGGGTTACAGCCCGGGACACCCGCAGCCCCTGCCGTGCTCAGGAAACCGTCGGCTCCCCACGCACAGCCTGAAGCGTTTGTCTGTGGTCGTCCCCGTGTTGTTTGCTAAATTCTGCAGAGCACAGAGGGTGGCAGAGCAGGGGGCGCGCGTGGAGGGGCTGACCCCCAGAGTTAGCGCATCTTGGCATCAAAGCCCCACAGCGATAGTGGAGGGGCGAGTCCCGGAGGCGGAAAGCGGGCTGGCGGACGCCCCCGGCTCTGAGCCGTGATGAGATCTCCTCTTGTCCATCTGCAGGGGGCGTGTGTGTGGCCTCCGAACCGAAGGAGGACTCTGTCCACTTTCTGGTGCTGACCGATGTCTGTGGGAACAGGACGTATGGCGTGGTTGCCCAGTACTACCGACCCCTGCACGTACGTGATTCCGGGGGACCCCCCCGCCCCAAGTCGGGTCCCAGTGTTTGTTACTGTGCAGGGACACACAGCGCGTGGCAGCACGTGCAGGGAACAGTGGCACCGAGTGCGCTCGCGGTGCTGTGCACCCCACCCCCCTGGACGTCACTCCCCAGCCCCCCTCCAGCCACTCGTCTGCTTTCTGCCTCCAGGGACATGAGGTGCCTGTTCTGGATACCTCGTGTCCGTGGACTTGCCCTGCACGTGGCCTTTGCGCCTGGCTGCTTTCACTCAGCGTGTCGTTTTCAGAGTCCAGCCACGCGGGAGCTTCTCGCTTCTGTCCGCAGACGCCGACACTACTGAGGATAGAAGCCGGGACCGGCTGGGTCGAGAGGTGACACGTGCCTGTGGCTTTCTCTCCAGGACGAGTCCTGTTTCTACAACGGCAAGATGCACTGGGAGCCGTTCAGGCCACCTGGGGGTGCGGCTGGCTGCTTCGTGCCCTTTGCCGTGTGTGTGGTCTCCAGATTCCCCTATTACAACGCCCTTAAGGACTGCCTGTCTTGGTGAGCCCCCCCCCGGGTGCCTGCTTGTCCGTGAGGCCGCTCCTGGCGCTGGTGGGTGGTGGGTGGGCCCCAGTTGGGCCCCGGGAGCACCTAGAAGCTTCCAGATGCTTCTGGATATGCTGGCATGTGGGGAAGGTCTGCCAGATGAGGGAGGATAAAGCCAAGCTGTTGGAAGTAAAATTAATGGGATTTGATGTTTGGTTTTTTAAAAAAGGTATATGAGGAAAAGCTCTGTTCCTGGCTCTCTGAGAAAATCAGGAGGCTGCTATTAGTTCTGCTGAGCTCATTGACATTTAAACAATTACCTTTTTTGGGGTGGAATCTTTAACCGTCTTAGTGCTGATACTGAGAAAGCCTGAGAATATAGAGAATTTTTGAAAAATCCAGAGAGCATCGCGCGGCACGTGACTGTGGCGCAGACATGGCCTGCCCCCCGGCCATGTGCGCCCCAGCTGCTTCGTGTGCACGCTCACAAAGTTACAGTCTTAGAGTTGGCGGCGGTTTGGTTGAAGACAGAAGGCGGTCCACAGAGGGTCCCCCTTCTGTCGTCACACCCACCAGCCACCCCTGGCAGATCCCACATTTCTGGGAAAGCCATGACTCTGGTTCTCACACCGTGGCCAGGGGCTGAGCAGGAGTCCATCCGGATCAAGCTAACGGCCTTCGTAACTCAAATTCCAGCACCTTCGTGGGGGTGTTTTGTTTTGTTTTTTTGGAAAACGTGGCTGGTCTTTGGACATAGTTTGGGTCTAGCCTGCGTTTTATTGCCACACACGTAAAACACCTTGTACAACAGAGAACTCCCTGGTCTCATTTCAGGGCTGAGTGACTTGAGGGGGAGCACGCGCATTAATGAACGTTTGCCCAGGCGTGGGAAGGGCCAGAATAAATGAGGACATGGTCGCTTTTTATTCATTAACTGATCTTCTTCAGCACTTGGTCCCCAGTCACCTCTTCGGTGAGACGGGGAGGGTTATTCACGCCCCGTCTCGAATGGACGGGCTAGGGCCACACCACAGCCACCTTCTAAGGAAGGTGGCCCTGCTCCACTGTCTTGACACCGGTTGTGCCTTCAGCAGTTGACCCTTGTCGCGTCAGGTGGCATGCTGGCAACAAACACCATCCTGCTTGACAGTAATGGAAGCGGACATTTAAGCCGAAAAGCGTGTCCATTTTCGTTGCTTCTTGGGTTTCCTGTCTCTTTCAATGGCCGTTGCTAAGTGGCCGCAGCTAGAAAACAGAGCTAGGGAGAAACAAAGGGCAGGAACCAGAAAGGCAGTTTCTAAACACAAATTTATGTATTTTTTTAAAATTTATTTACTGCGAGAGAGAAAGAGAACGGGCTGGGGAGGGGCAGAGAGGGACCGGGTCAGAGGACCTGAAGGAGGCTCCTCGCTGCCAGCACAGAGCCTGACGCGGGCCTCGAGCTCAAGAACCGTGAGATCGCGACCTGAGCCAAAGTTGGACGCTGAACTGACTGAGCCACCCACGTGCCCCAGATTTATGTATTTTTAAAGCCTGGTTTTCTGCTATAATGAGACCATGTAAATTGCCTCTGTGGGGACAAGAATTGGGAGAGAATGCTCAGTTATATTTGGGGAATTAGATTGCTGGAAGTGGTGTGTTTTTTTTTTTTTTTAATTCTTTACAATAAATACAGAGGAGTATTTTTTTTTAATTTTTTAAATGTTTTTATTTATTTTTGAGAGAGAGAGAGAGAGTGTGTGTGTGGGGCAGGGGCAGAGAGAGAGGGAAACACAGCATCCGAAGAAGGCTCCAGGCTCCTAGCTGTCAGCACAGAGCCCAGTGTGGGGCTCGAACTCACGAGCCATGAGATCATGACCTGAGCCGAAGTTGGATGTTTAACTGACTGAGCCCCCCCCCAAGTGCCCCCAGAGGAATATTGAATTATCTCCAAATCCCGATATGGACCCCAGGAAGAGTTATTGTTACTTAGGAGTGTAGTGCTTGGCTTGCTGGGCACGCGTGGGCCCTGGCGGTGGGCCGGGCCGGGGTCCACCCCAGGGGACTGAGGCAGGGTGTCCCGGGCGCTTGGCTGAATTTTGCCAGATGTAGACACCACAGTTAAGACACAGAACATTCTTACCACCCCCCCCAAGGCTCCCTCGTGCCCTGTGGTCGCTTCCCAGCCCCTCTGCCCCTGGCACCCGCTTGTCCGTTTTACGTTGAAATCACATGCATCCGAGCCTTTGAACCGTGGGGGTCCACGTACGCATGGGGTTTTTTTCCGAAAAATACCATACAGTCCTGTAAATGTATTTTCTCTTCCTTGTGGTTTTCTTAAAACCATTTTCTTTTTCTCCGGCTTGCTTTGTTGTGAAGATACAGCAGCTAAGGCACATAACATACAAAATACCTGTTAATCAGTTATTCATGTCCTCGGTAAGGCTTCTGGTCAGCAGTGCGCTATCAGCAGTCAAGTTTTGGGGGAGTCAGAAGTTATACGTGGGTTTTCAACTGCGTGGGGGATGGGTGCCTTTAACCCCCGCGTGGTTCAAGGGCCTACTGGACTTCCAAAGTCAGAATGCATTTGGGAAACCAGCTTTGTCAAGTACTTTCCCTTGGCACGTTTGTTCCCCGCTCAAGTATGACACATAGAAAAACGCACGAATTCCAGTGACTTCCCGCTGATGGAACACACCCGTGTAGCCAGCACCCACACCAAGAAACGGAACATGGGCGGCCCCCCCCCCCAAACACCCCAGCTCCCCTGTGCCCCCTTCCGGGCACGCCCGGATCCTGGGCAGCTGCTCCCCGCCCTGTGACATCCAGGTTAGTCTCCCTGTTGCTGGAAAGTTCTGAGCTGCCGGCCCTGGCAGACGCTTCAGCTGGGATTAGAAATGCTAAGGAGGACCATCGGATGCTCAGACTCACTTTGTGATTTGATTTTTTTTTTTTTTTAATTTTAGTTTATTGACTCATCTGAAGCTCTGTAAAGATTTCGAAGTTGACAATCACATAAAAGATTTTGCTGCAAAGCTATCTTTAATCCCTAGCCCACCGCCTGGACCACTTCATCTGGTAATTAAATCTGGAATTACGTCTTTTCTTTGCAAATAGTAGAAGAAGTAAGATGGAGATGGGTTAAATGTGTTAAACTGTTTCTTACGTTTTGGCATGTTTAAATTCAGCTTCTCAAGTTCTTACAGAATTCTCTATTATGCTATTTCTAAAGGTGGTTTGCCCAGCGGCCCGTGATGAGTGGGCGTGTAGCTGGGGATGAACCCCTTTAGCGGTTAAAGAAAAGTGCCTGGCTTTATACTTTCAATTTTTCTCTGTGGATCTGGGATCTGGGATCCCTGGCACGCTCGTTCTGAGACGTCAGCTGTTTTATCACACGAGGGTTTCAGGTCAAGGACGGTTGGAGAAAGGCAGCCCCCGTTCCCCTTTTGCTGAGTAATGGGCCAGACTGCTGAGCCGTGATGACTGACACCTGCCTGGCTCAGCATTTTCCAGACTGACGTAACCACAGGGCACCTCTTGTTTTCAAACAGGCACCTGTCAGGTTAGCATCTCGAAGCAGGTCATAAATGTTGACTCCGTTTCACTCAGTCCCTTCTGGAAGATTATGCAGCCAAATCTTGGTTCTCTGCATTTTGATGATTATTCACAGTGGAGAAATGTGGTTATGAACTCAGAATGTGCATTTTTAATATCGACCTAAGCCCAGTGGTCGGCAGCAGAGGGTGGGGGGTGGCGGGGAATCCCGCCAGATGCGTTCCAGGCCTGGAGACCAAGCCGTCGCCCGAATGCCTTGGTTCCACTCCCAGAAACCTTTGCAGGGAACATTTATTGGGTTGTGTTGTGCAAGGAACTCATCTTTATTATGTGGATAATTGGTATTTTTTATTGGACAGTGAAATCATCAAAGTTTACGTTCTTGCTCTATAAACTCAACAGGTATTCGCCGAGGACCTGCTAAGTAGCGAACAGAACCAGGTTCAGAACCGTTTGCAGGTTAACTGTGCTTACTGTATTCTGCCTTTGAGCACGAGTAGCATACAGATAGTACCTGTACCAATTTCTGTGCCTCAGAATCTTGGGCTGTTTCATATTTGGTTTTTCCACTTTCACCACCCCGGTGAGAACGTTTACGGTGGGTCGTTCTTCACGTCTCTTCCCTTCATCCCTGCGTGCCCTCCATCGTCCACCCCTGAGCAGCCTGCACCCGGCATTTGCTCCCAGGCACCCACGCCCGCTGCCACCACCCCACTCTGGCCCACCAGCTTCTCCCACCAGCGTGACTTGAGGAACCACCGGTCTGGCCACGTCCCTTCCTGACCCTTCGTTAAGTTCATCCTCTGCACAGTGGCTGCAAAGATTGTTAAAATCTGTAAACTGGACTCTCCTTTTGTGCTGAAAACCCAACGATGATTTCTTGCTATATGCCTTCAGCCAGCCTTCCATCTTGGCCCCTGTGTCCCTGTCCAGCTCTGTCATGTGTCCTCACCCCCTTGCTCACTGTTCTCCAGCCGCACTGGGGTTCCCTCCGTCCCTCGCGGGTGCTGCCCCTGGACTCTTGCACGTGCTATTTCTGGAAGTGCAGCTGTCCGTTTTCCAGCTCCTGCTCAGCCCTCAGTTTCTTCGGAACAGCCCCTCGGTGACCTCCCACCCCTGTCTCGCTCTCAGCACCCAGCCCCCTTCCTGCAGAGCTCAGCATAGGCTGCGGTTAGGGCTGGTGCACGTGTGTGTTTTGTCCAGTGTCCATCTCCGCCATTGGACTCCAAGCTGCACGAGGACGGAGGCCTTGCCGAGGGCTGCGTGTGCACAGGGCTGACACCACGCCCAGCATCTGCCTCTCCCACAGCTGTTGAGCAAAGCATCAGGGGTTCAGGGGTTCGGATCTGGTCTTGATTTTCACAAACTCGTCGGGACGAGCCGACTTTGGGGCGGGCTTGCTGCCGTGACCCTCCCCTAAGAGTCCTACTAGCTCTGGGGCTCCCATGGACCCAGTGGCCCTGATCCGTCTTAGGGGGTGTTGAGGCACCGTGACTGTTCCTAGTTCTGGGGAAATGCGAGCAGTCCGTGGAGGCCAGGAGCTGATTCGGCAGTATTTTCCAGAACCCACTGCGAGCGGAGGTCCATTTAGAGGCTCTGCAGCTCGTGCTCAGCTGTAGATCTTGTGTTTTGAGCCGAGTGTGTGGGCGCCCGGCGCAGTTTCCCATTACTCTGGGGCTGGGGCACGTCTGGTCTGTGCCCCCCCTCGGATGGCGCCTGGACCACCGGCCCGAGCGCAGCCCGGCCCCCGGGAGCCCCGCGTCCCTGGGCCCCCCACCGCTTCTGTGCCCACCAGCGGGTCTGATTGTACGGGCTCGCGGATCACGGGCGTTACTGGACGTGCAGTGAGATGTGGCTTTTCCTGCCACTGAACTTGACAGACTCACTCCCTGTGTCGCTTCGTGTGTGGAACCTGGTGTTTCTCTGGGGCTCCGGTCACGCTGAAATTTGGCAAGCCTTTTCCTGAGATGTCTTTCCTTCCTCTGTTCCTTCACCTGCGAGGTGGGTGGGGTGACAGCACCCAGCTGCCCGGGTGCGGGTCTTACGTGCCGTGAGGTCACTGGCACGGCAGCGGACACGTCCCGGGGGCTGAGCGATGTCTCTGGTAGAATCCCCAGCGTTCGTATCTAGTTGTTCTCTGTCGCTGGGAAGCTGGCTGACACAATTATTGTTTGAAATATTTGAGGGTGTTTTTCCCATACACTTTACAATTATTAATAGTTCATTGTGACTTAGAGCATTTTTAAAAATAAGTTTATTTATTTATTTTGAGAGAGAGAGAGAGAGCAAGGCGGGAGGTACAGAGAGAGAGAGAGAGAGAGAGAGAGAGAGGGGGAGTCCCAAGCAGGCTCTGCACTGTCTGCGTGGGGCCTGATGTGGGGCTCGAACCCACAAACCATGAGGTCAGGAGCTCAGCTGAAACCCAAGGGTCGGATGCTCAACCAGCTGAGCCACCCAGGCGCCCCCACGACTTGGAGCACTGAACTCTGCTTTCACTTGTTCCAAATAAAGAGGGTGTTCCTGACCACACAAGTCATGCATTTTGCTTCCATGGACCAGTCGGTGACAGGAAGGCAGGCAGGGTGACAAGACGGCGTTGTCAGGAGGCCCTAGCAGACGCGCCACCTGCGGGTTTCTCACACGAGTGTTCACTTGGTGTGGATTGTGGACATTTGTTCTGGAATCTTCTCTGCACCTGGTCTTCCGTGTTGCTTCATTTCTCATCCTTCCACGCTTTGCCTGGTCGGAGCTTCTCTTTCCTCGGATTCCATGCTGCTTCTCTCCGTGTTCTCTCCCACCACTGCTTGCACTCTGGCCTCTCTGTTCTGTGCGTTTGGGGGGCTGCGGGGGCGCGGGTGGCCCCAGCGTCTCCCAGACACCCCCCCTCGAGGCTGACACCCACAGTCAGGAATGAACTTGTCATCGGGCAGGAAGGCCTCTTGGCGGAGGGGCCCCTACGGTGCCCCCACTTTCCCCTTCCGTCTACCACGCCTGTTAACATAGAAGGGGCGTCTGCGTGTAGGGAATTTGAATTAAGGTGTTATTTTAAGATAATATCATTTGGAAAAATAGAGTCTTTCTCAACAGTTTCTTGAATTACAGGTCTTCAAGGAGCTTTGACAACTAAATAGAAGATCCTGGGAGAATTTGTAATCTGCAGTGACCCGAATGATAAAAAAAAAGTGTACTAGCTAAGATTAGTTAGCTAATCGGACATGCTTGACTTAGAACTTGCGTGGGGGGCCATCTGGGTGTCGGCCCGTTGCTGCCAACGGGCGGGTTGCTCGTTAACGGGAGCGCTTGGGGAACCTTGGCTGAAAGAGACGCCAAGTACTCGATTCACCCGTGAGCCTTTAGCAGCGCTTCTGTGTCTCTGGACGGCTCTGGCGTTCTGCGACCCGTGAGGTGACAGCGTGAGCCCCCCCAAACGTAGCCTAATGTGCACGCCCGGAGCCGCAGCGGAGGGTTTCGGTGGGTTCCGCCTCCGCGGGAGCGGCCGCTGGACTAATCGGGGAACGTGGTCGCCGCAGGTGTTCAACATGAAGCCGCTGCAGATCGTGTTTCCCTCCCGGGCGGACCCCGAGAGCCCGATCGTCGACCTGGACCTTCACCTGCCCTTGCTGTGCTTCAGGCCCGAGCAGGTGCTGCAGGTACGCGACCCTCCGGACCCAGGGCGCCCCCCGCTGCTCGGGCCTCGTCCCGCAGAGCCCTGGGAAGGCTCGTCGTTTCTTCGCTTCAAGCCGACGGGGCGGAGTTAGAGGGGCCCCGGTGGGGGAGGGGGCGGGGCCGGGAAAGCGACTCCGCCCGGTGGCGGTGGGCGCGTGGCGCGCCCGGCGGGGCTGTGCTCACTGTGCGGTCGGTCCCCGCAGATCCTGACGTGCCTGCTGACGGAGCAGCGCATCGTGTTCTTCTCGTCCAGCTGGGCTCTGCTGGCCCTGGTGGCCGAGTGCTTCCTCGCCTACCTGCACCCCCTGCAGTGGCAGCACACCTTCGTGCCCATCCTGTCGGGCCAGATGCTGGACTTCGTCATGGCGCCCACGTCCTTCCTCATGGGCTGCCACCTGGACCACTTCCAAGAAGTCAGCAAGGTCAGGCCTCCACCGTCAGCCGGTCGCCCCTGCGGGGACACACAGGCGGCTCTGGGAGCGCCCCCGGGGCGGGCCGGACACACCGGCCCCGGGGTCCCTGGGGTGTGCTCTGGGCGCCACACGGACGGCGTGCTGTCGCTCGCGGGCCTCGGGGTGCGTTCGGGGCCGTGGTATCCTGGGTGCTGGGACCTCGTGTCCCTCGTGAGGCCGCTTAAATCCCCGGGGCTCGATGGCTTCCCGCCGAACTGCCAGGAGAGCGCGGGCACCCGCCTGGCCGTGGCCGCCTTCTGGTTTTGCGGCGTCCGGTGACGTGCTCGCCTTTGCCGCGCCTCAGTTTCCTCGCCTCTGAGGCGGTCACGTCCTCCCGGGAGGGGCTGTGAGCCGGGACCCTCCCGTGCCCGCCCGGCACGCGCCTGGGCTCCGCTCGCCACAGCCGGCAGCGCGACTGCCCCGCGTCTGCCGTTGGTCGTGCCGTGGACCCCCTTGCCGTGGACACCTGCACACGCAGTGTGTGGTTCACGGTGGCGGCGGGCGGGCGGGCCTTGCTGGATCCGGTGGCCGTTCGCTCGCTCTGCCTGAGCCGTGACCGAGCGTCGCGCCCTTTCGTGTCCTGGTCGTAAACGACACTGAGCGTGCCGGCCGTGTTATTGCGGCCAGGGTCAAAGGAGCCAGTAGAACAGGACTCGGCATACAGCAGGTGCTTAACAACGTACGTTAAGTGAGCTGACCTCACGGGTTTGGAATGAACGTCGTGGTATCGTCAGCAGGAAGGGCGGGTTCGGTTTTGTAAAACGCCTTTATTCAGGTAAAATTCATTCACCACGAGGTTTACCCGGTGACCGCGTACAATTCAGTGGCTTCGTGCCAGCTAATTTTGGACCTTTTCATCTCCCGTGGAGAAGCCCTGGGTGCCTCAGCGTCCCCCCGTGCTGTCCTCCGCCTGCCCCTGGCCGCCACCACCTGCCATCTGTCCCCTTCCACCTGGTTTCGTGTCCGCGTGAGGCCTTTCGTGGCTCCCCTCGCCCAGCACAGCGGTTTCAGGTTCACCCACGCTGTCGCCGGCAGCCGGACGTTATTCTTGCCGCAGGACAGGGCCCCTTGTGTGAACGTCACGACAGTCCGCTCACCCCTCCGTCGGTTGACACACGTGTTCTTTCTCCTCTTGGCTGTCGTGAACGTCCGTGCACAGCTGTACGCGCCTCACTCGGCTCGGGTACGTGCCGCGTAGGCTGGGAAGGCGGGGTCACACGCGAACTGGCTGTTCGAGAAGAGCCCAGGCTGTGTGTGCAGCGGCAACGTAGGGGCTCCGATTTTCCGCCCTTCTCACCAGCCCCCGTCCCTGTGCCTGTGCTTGTAGCCACCCTGGCGAGCGTGAAGCGGTGTCTGGCTGGGACGTGCGTTTCCCCGGTGACTGATGACGTGCGCACCTTCGTGTGCTTGCTGGCAGTCTGCTCAGGGTCGCTTTCCCGTGACTGTTTTGGGGCTTCCTAAGTGTGCGCGGACACGGAGAAAGGTCAGGGCGACGCCACGGGTCCCTTCCCGTCTCCAGCCCTCGTCAGGTGGGGCCCCGCTGCCCTGCTTTACTTGGAACGTTCTGGAGTGAATCCCAGGAAGGTGGTAGGCGCTGTGTTCAGCCCAGGGAGGAGCCGGGTTCTCGCCACGTTCTTGCCAAAGCCAGTGACTCACCAAGCCACAAACACACTTTGGGAGAAGACCATTCGGACCTTCGTGGAAGGAACAGGGGGAAACGTCACCCAGTCTGCCTTGCAAATGACGGGAAAAAAAATCCACGCTCTGAAGTTTGAAACGTGTTGCTTTTTTTAGTCATTAGGGGAAAAGCCATCTTGTTTCAGACCCTTCGGAGGGAAACTTTGTTGGCACGTTGACCTAACACAGTCAGCATTCGTGAAGGAAGCCCATTTAGGCATTGACTTGCTCTGGAAGGTTTCGGGACAAGCAGCAGCTCTTGCCTGAAGAGCGTGTTTTGTGTCTGGACGTTTCCCTCTGTGGGGCTGGGGTCTTGGAAGCGGTCCCGTGACGGTCCTGTCACGCATCTCTGCTGTGACCTGCATTAATGCTCACAAAGGGCATTGTGTCCGTGTCTGGACAGCTTCCTTCGGGCCTCACGTGTCACCGACGTGGGCATCAGGAGGCTGGGCCCAGATGCGACCCGAGGAGCGGGGCCTTCAGAGACTCCGGCACCGCCTTTCGGGGATTCGGGACCCTGGGGCGTTGACTCAGGATTGTGCATCTTGTCACAGATGAGGCCTTTACAAGGAACTCAGACACATATTTCAGAAACTCCAAGTGTGTGTGGTCACGGAGCCCGGAACCCCGCCCACACTCCTTTCCTACGAGGGGTGGAGTTCTGGAATGTTCTCTCCAGGCTCCTGAAGTAGCCGCAGAGTGTTTGCACCAGGGCAGGTGAAAGCCTGATAACGACACATGTGGAATCTTGACTCAGACTGCGCGTGTTTAATCAGATTTAGCTTGTTAACATAACTCACGGTCTAGCCTACATTTTTTGGTGGAGACGACATAAGACTCTGTGTACGTATTAAATACGGTAATTTAATTAAGTAATTCACTATCTTAGTGAACACAAATGTGTTTTTGTGTTTCTGAAGGTATCTACAAGTTCAGGTTCTTACATCAATTTTTACACACTCACAGGAAGCTGACGGTTTAATTCTGATAAATATCGACAACGGGAGCGTCACCTACTCTAATGACGAGGACATCGATGTTCCCGACATCCCTCTCCTGGCAGCACAGACGTTTATTCAGAGGTAAAGGTGGGAATTTCCACCGTGTGCTTGGAAACGTCTTTGTTCCAGAGCTGTGTTTGCCAGTTCTGAGTTTCTTCTCCGTCTTATGTTACAGATCGATGTTTTTTTGTCATCACAGTTTGGAAATTGTTTGTGAATATCTTATCTATGTATTTATTTCCTTACTTTAAAGTTAGTTTATTTTGAGAGAGAGAGTGCACCTGTGCAAGTGAGCACGAGTGGGGGAGGGGCGGAGGGAGAGACTCCCAAGCAGGTTCTGCGCTTTCGGAGCAGAGCGCGAGGTGGGGGTCAAACTCATGAACCATGAGATCATGACCTGAGCCAGAATCAAGAGTTGGACCCTAATTGACTGAGCCACCCAGATGCCCCTGTTTGTGAATGTTTTAAAACAGAAGTCATTCGTCCTTATTCAGATCTTTTCTGAATACCAATGGCCCCACGGTCAGGTGATGGTCCCACCCCCCAGGAAGCCTCCCCACCCTCTCTCTGTGCCCCAGTCATGTGCCTGTGACCTTTGAGGTTCCTTCCCTCCTTCCCTCCTTCCTTCCCTCCTCCCCTCCTCCTCCCTTCCCTCCTCCCCTCCTCCTCCCTTCCCTCCTTCCCTCCTCCTTCCTTCCCTCCTCCCCTCCTCCTCCCTTCCCTCCTCCCCTCCTCCT